TTCCAATAAAAAAACATGTTATAGGACTATAAGTCGTTTTCAGTAGATTGACAAAAAACATAGCTCAAACAATCAATCTCTAAGGACTGCAAGGCGAACTTGAAAGACGTTAAAAAAAACAGTTTCAGTGAATACTCATTTATAGAACTATAAATCGTTTTCAACAGTTTGGTAAGAACCAAGTTCTATGAAAACTAATTTATAGAACTATAAATTAATATAATCCATTTTAAAGTTTATTGTAAAATCCTTGTCAAAAAATATATGTTATGTAAAAGAAGAATTCAAACATCTTTTGCCTAGGGGACATCTTCAAATTCTTAACCATGGAAAAATATTTTAATAAAAAATTTAAAAAAATACAAAAAAATAATATATTCGTCCATGCATGAGAGAACATATCCAAGAGAATGTATTCGTGAATAGGAGAATATATGTGCATGTTTGGGAAACCCCCGAATAGGTTCATCGTGCTACATACCTTATAGAACTATAAATTTTATTTTTTAAATAAACAAAAAATTAGGATATTTTGATTATTGGACAAACAGTGCTTTGCAAGGTAGTGATTTTTTGTAAAAAGACTTGCTTCTCTCCTCACCACTTCTAGTGGTTTTAAAAAAGTACTTTTTTATTCATTTTTTACGGTTAATTTACTTCACATAGAATGTTGTTCATGTAGGAGGCCTGAAAAATGTACTAGCTGAATCTTAAAAAAAAATCGTGCAAACCTAACAATTTTTTTTGTTAGGTTTTGACGAATTCTATGTTAACCCCAACTAAAATCCAAATCAGCAACCCACGTGATGGACCAACCCATGGGCAAAAGAAACAACCACTTACAAAATTCACACTCTCCACTCTGTATACGTCTTGGATATTTGACAAATTCACCCCCGCACAGAAAAGGACTTTTGACAAACGGTTTGGTGAGAAGGGGCACCCCTACATGCTCCACCCTCGATAAGTCCCCTTTGTTGGAGAGGATTAGCAATGCAAGAGAAGATTCTGCCAGGGGTGGCCTGCATTATCCATATTGTCCATATCCAGCAACACTGGAATTGAATAGGCCCATACATCTTCCGTCGCAGGAAGGTGTTGATCTGGTATTCACGATGATTCAATCGCACCAGCACCCGGCTACCTATCCTAGTTGGACTTGGCGAGTTGGGGACCAATCCTAAACTGGGTACACCCGTGCTAACCCACCGAGCATGAACAGAGCACCAGGGGTGAGATCCTGGCTCACCCACTTAGCACAAACATAGCACCACAGTGACTGACATGGCGGATGAGATGCTGGTTGTTGATCTTTGCAACTCTGTTTGACAATATAAAGTACGACCATTACGCTCATAGTCCGTGTACCTGACTGGGGCCTCGCTTAATAGCGGACGGATTCAGCCGCCTTTCCCCCCTCTCATAGGCCGAACAACGAAAAAAACCGTATATATATATATATATTTATATATGACGATATATATATATATATATATATATATATTTATATATATCGTCACAAAAAGAACTGCCCGATAATATATATATATATATATATATTGTTTTAATTTGGACATCCAATAGTTATCCCTACTTTCTCGTGGTGGTAAAGAGAACCAGCTGCGGGGGGATGCAGGTTATACGGTGGATAACTTTCCTTTTCTTGCGTTTCTGTGGGCATACTCACACTAGGATGCATTTTCATAAAATCGTAAATTCTACGTGATTTTTTGGGTCACAATGGCTACGAAGGTTGTGTTTTCACGCAAATGAGCACATAAATGTCAGTGGCTTGGACAGCCGCGGGGTTACGTATTTTGCGGGAACCTCTGAAGGTCCCCGCAATTGCATATTTCTTTTAGACCTATTTCTTTCTGGAAACGAAAAAAAAAAGAATTCGATGTTTGGTGGGCAACTCTCATAAGAGGGGGGAAAAAAAAGGGGAAACTACGTGGGAGTCACAATAACGAGTTATAATTGCACTATGGGCCAAAATACAGTTTCGAATTGCAGTTCAGGCAATGTATACAACCCAGCTTTCGGGCCAGGAAGGGTGCCTGACATGCAATTGCAAACTGTATCTTGCCCGATAGTGCAATTATAACTTGTTATTGTGACTCTACTGAAGTCACCCCTAAAAAAACAACAGGAAAAAAGGATGGATTTTTATGCATCTGCTGTGTGACCCATCTGCTCGTATAATCACATTCCTAGAGCAGGTCGAGACTGTGTCCTTTCTGTTTTGTGACATATACCAGTGTGCTGTGTGACTGGGAAGTGCCCTGATAATCGCACATTGGCTCACATATAATTCGCGATTGTACCTTCTAGTGTGAGTATGCCCTGTGTGTGTGTGTGTGTGTGTGTGTGTGTGTGTGTGTGTGTGTGTGTGTTTGAAAGAATGAATGAAGAGGGAGAGAGGGAGTTTTATTATACAAACCCGGAAACAGGCCCTGCGGGCGTCGCTTACGATTGTGTCTAGGGCGTTTATGTTATGATGGGGATAATTAGTTAGCGCGGTCCAGCGATTTGGGGATTGTTTGGGGATTGTAAGTAGACATATTTGCACATGATTAGGACATAATGATTGGGGGTTCCATGTAATTACCGGGATTAGTAAGGGCTTTTTTTTTTTTTTTTTTGAAACACACTTTCCCACCAGTGCTAGTGATGCTGATGAAAACAGACACCACTAGCACCTTGGAAGGGGCTCCATCTATTGGTGGGGAGCGTCACCTGCTGGAAAACGGTTCCAGCGTCCCATATACAGACCAGTTGAGGTACATCAGAACAGAATTGGGTTTGGCGCTTGTAATTAGAGGTTGCACATAATTTGTTTGCATTTGGACATTTTTAGGGCTTAGGGTTTCCATGTAACTACCGGGATTAGTAGGAGTGGTGGACAGGTAGTTTAGTTTAAGGTTAAGGAACCTTATCTGTTGTGTTATTATTAGTATGACTTTAATGGACTGTGGCCGAAAATGGGCTTGGGCGGAAGTGCCTCCTTCAGATAGAAGGGCTGCGGCAGATGAGGTAAGGGAGGCTGGGCCCGATTCCCAGCTACATGAAATGAATATAGTTTTTTGTTTTGGTGGGATAAAAAAAGATAAAAAGAAAAAAGCAGTCCCAAAGTCCAACGAGGCATCATTTGTTTTTTTTTAAATGGGGGGGGAGGGGGGAGGGGGGAGGAAGGCTAACCCAGTGTTGTGTGTTTGGGCGGCGCGCCGCGCCCCTCACCAAATTACATGGGAATGGTACACCCGGCGCCACCCTTTTTTTTCCTGTCCTTCGCCCCTTGTGCCCCCTCCGTTCCTGCCATTGGCCCTTTTTTGTTGTTCGTTTAAATTCGATGGGCTTCCGTCCGTTTGATGTGTTCTTATTGTCGTTTGGCGGTCTTTTTTAATTGTCATCTCTTTTTTTTTTTTGGCCCCCGTGGTTTGGTTATGGTGGTGGCGATGCAGATCCAGGTCGTTGGAAGCAGACGAAGAGGAGGAGGAGGTTCAGCACCCTACCCATCTGATTCGGGTTCCGACAGCGAGAAACGAACGGGCGCTCGGGGAGAAGGGCCCCCTCCTCTCCTCATTTTGCCCACTGATAAGGGTCCGCTGGCATATTGTAGTGTCGGGGAGGGGATGTAGGCAGCCGCCGCCTCCCCCTCCGCAATCGGAGTCTGGTGGAAGGGCAGGGACTGTCCTGGGTGGGAATCGGAAATGCCAAGGCCGCGGATCCCGACGCGGGGCGCCTGGAGGCGAGGGCTGTTACCCCAACCCCGACGCCGCCTGTTACACCGAGGCCAAAGCCAGCCGAGAACCGAAGCTGCTACCGAGCCTACACCTACCGGTAGTCGGCTCATGGACAACGGATCCGCCGCCACGCAGCTACCACCACCAGCCGCAGGAGCAGCAGCAGCACCACCGGGAGGAGGGGGAGGAGGAGGAGGAGGAGGAGGAGGAGCTGGCGAAGCAGGAGGAGATCCAGGGCGAGGACAAGATGAATCTAATCGAGCAGTAGAGACAGAGGGCGGGGGACAAGAAGCAGGAGCTGGAGTAGGAGCACAAGGAGCACAAGGAGGAGGAGGAGGAGGAGGAGGAGAAGGAGGAGGAGGAGTGGACGAAAGGTCACTGGTGCCTTATTGCAGTGGAAGCCCGATAGGAAGCAGTAGCACCCCAGCACAGTGCTTTTGCCGCCGTCACGGCAAATCAAGCCAGCGGGCGAGAAGTGCGAATGCGGAGGCAGAGCGGTTTACGATGGGTGGGATAGCGATCGGGCAGTCGGGACACGTCGGCGATGGCGGTCCTGGCCCGGGGGACAAAGTCTCGACCCCGCGTAGCCTTAGCCTGGGCGACAAAGTGGTGGTGGCAATCAAAGGGACTAGGGATGCGAGCGAGGAGGCTCTCAACTACGCTATACAGAATCTGGTCCGGCCGGGCGAGAGCATCACTCTGGTGCACGTCATCCCGCCCATCAATCGCGTGCCTTTGCCTGTGGGATACATCCCGGCGGAGTTTTGCAAAGCGGAGGTGCTGGAGGCGTACCGCAAAGTTCTGAACGAGCAGGCTTTCCTGATGATGATGGCCATGAAGAAGAGCTGCGACGAGAGGGGGGTGGCAGCTCACCTCCAGATCGTGGAAGGCAAAGTGAAACCGACGCTAGTGGAGGTAGCGAGAGCGATGAAGGCCACCAAGTTCGTGATCGGGGCCCCCATTCACCACGCGTTGGCGAGGCTGGTGCGAGGGGAGGGCACATCAGCCTACTGCAAGAAGCACGCACCGTGCGACGTGCTAGTCGTACAAGCGCGAAACTTCAGTCATCAGCAACAGCATCAACATCAGCATCAGCATCAGCATCAGCATCAGCATCACCACCAGCACCACCACCGGCAGCAAACTCCGTGCGGCACGGCTTCTAGCGGCGAACTGTCCGCGGATTCCACCTCCGCTTCAAGTGCGTCGGAGCCTCTGTCTCCTGCATCTAGCACAGGAACCTGGTTCAATACGGCATTGCCTCCCTCTGCGCCCCCGCCTCCCCCCCCTCCCCCTCTCCCTCCTCCCCCTCCTTCTCCTGGTGGTAGTGGTGGTGGTGCCGCGCCGGTTCAGCCCCAACTTTATCACCACCACCACCACCACCACCATCATTCGGCTGCTCCTCTGGGGCCTATGCCGAATGGGGCAACCACCCCTGCGCTCACATTGCAGCGGCAGCAGCAGCAGCAGCAGCAGCAGCAGCAGCAGCAGCAGCAGCAGCAGCAGCAGCAGGTTATCCATCATCAGCATAATCGGACGATAAGCGCAATAAGTGGTCTGGAGGCCTACGAGGATGACGTGCTGTCGTCATCCTCCGCTAGCCCTGGGAGGGCCTCCCTGCGAAGCTGCGATGGCGCGACGTCATCGGGCTTTGAGATGGCGAGCTGCAAGCTTAGCAACGGCAACGGCAGCGGCGGGGCAGGAGGAGCCGGGGGAGGAGGGTGTCGGGACGCGGGTGGGGGTGGAGCGTGTTTTACAATGATCTCCGGTCCCGATCTCCTCGGTCGGGGGCAGAAGTTGGCATCGGACGACCTCTCTCCTCGGCCAGGTATGGCTTCTTCCTTCTTCCATCGCTTTCCGAAGAGGGAGAGCGAGGAGGATTTCGTCACAGCCGCAGCAGCAGGAGGTGGAGGAGGAGGAGGAGGAGGAGGAGGAGGATACGCGGCGGATGACAGCCAATGCTCCGATCGCGGCGGGACCGCCATCGTGGGCAGCAGGCGCGCCGGCACCAGCCTGCGGTCCCGCTTCCATCTGCCTGGTATACGAGGGTTGGGATCGCGACAGCAACGTAACGACCAGCAGCAGAAGAAGCAGGAGCAGCTGCAGCAGATGGGTGAGCTTGATCGACGGCTGTCGTCAATGGTTTGGGGTGGGGGGGCATCGCTAGCAAGAGCTTCAGGGAGCAGTACCGGCAGCAGCAGCAGCAGCAGCAGCAACGGCAGTAGTGGGAGGAGTATCACGGCTGGCGGTAGCGGCGGCCACGAGGCGGTATGGTCGATATCGGCGTCGCAGCTCGCGTTCCCACCTAGTATTCGGATACGAGAAGAGAATGGAGACGTGGGGTTGATGAATGGGAGAGGCGGGAAGCTGATGAGCTTGTACTCTTCCTCTCATCGGAGGAACAGGGATGGGGAGGAGAAACAGACATCGGGGGTGTTCTACAACTTCTTTCAGAAGCTCAGCGAGATGACGCAAGGTCACGGCTATGGCTACCGAGCAGGCAAGACCAGAGAGGTGGTTGATGCGGAGACGATGGTCGGTAGTACCACTGCCGCCTCCTCGCGCTATCGTGCAGACGCGTGGATGGGTGCAGGAGCAGGAGGAGGAGGAGGAGGAGGTGGAGCAGGAGCAGGAGGAGGCGGAGGTCATCGAGGGGTAGTAAAGCTCGCTCTAGAGCACCAGCGTAAAGAAGATCTCAGCCCTCTCACCATTCCGTGGGAGGACATGTTCAACAAGTATGCAGCTACGAAGCTTGGCGTCGGGATCGGCAACGGAGGCGCCGGGGCGGGGCCCGTGACGTCGGCGGCTGCATCTGTTGCTGCTGCTTCTTCTCTTCTGTCTGGACCCCTCTCGGGGATGACGGCGAGCCCTCTCTCTGCGTCTTCCTCCTCCTCTTCCTACTCCTCCTCCCCCTCCTTCGTCACGACTGTGGGATGTAATCCTTCTCCGGGAAACGGTGTGTACCTCACCAAGAACGGCAGCCCAGCACCTTCTGCCGCCCCGCGATCGAGGATCTGTAACGCTGCTGGGGTCTCCGTCTACCAGGAAACGACGACCTTGGCCCAGCACAACACCTCGTCCGTCGCCGAGGGAGTGACTGTGGTGTTGCAGGGGGGTGACCACCATAGGTTGTCGTCCATACAAGAGGAACTGTTGGAACACTACGGGACCGCGGGAAGAGGGGCGAGTTGTGGGCCAGTGGGACCGACGGATATGGATATGGAAAGGTCGGCGGCCGCCCTCTTTGCGAACGAGGGGGAGGAGGGTGATGTGGCGGTTGGCCCGCCGACAGCTGGCGGCGCCGGGGGCGGTACACGTGTCCAGTCCTCGCGCGGCGGCTTGATGGGATCGTCCCCCTCCTCCAAGCCCTGGAGAAGGAGAGGCAGCAGTGAGAGCAAGAAGTCGCCGTCGGACACTCGCGGGGACGTCAACAAGACTTGGACTCGTCGGGGATCCCGTTACTCGTTCGGGCTGCCGTCCTATCGCAGGCAGAAGAGCCGCGGGAGCGACGGCATATCTTTCTCCTTGGCTGTGAGGCCGGGCACGCCCGAGGAACCGGCGGGCGCAGCAGCAGCAGCTGCTGCGAAAACTCTTCCTCCCTTATCAGCGGCAGCAGCGCAAGCGAGAGCCCATCTCGATCGACTGACTCCCAGTGGCAGGGCGTCCGTCGCCAATCGGTCATCCGACCAGATAGCCAGCAGAGCAGAAGGGCGCAGTGCCCTCGGCAGCAGCGGGGAGTGCAACGATGAGGCGTCGTGCAACGAAGAGGAACGAAGGAAGAGGATGGTGATCGATAGCCATGAGGATCTAACGGCGGGAGCGTCGTCGGGCATGCTATTGACAAAGCAGAAGCTTGATGACCATCCAGCAGCAGCAGCAGCAGCAGCAGCAGGAGGAGGAGGAGGAGGAGGAGGCACAGGAGGCGCAGGAGGAGGAGGAGCAGAGGGGGGAGGAGGCGAAGGACGAGAAGGAGAAGAAGTTAGAGAGGAAGCAGTACTAGGAGGAGGAAGAGGGAGAGAAGGGGAAGGAAAGGAACGTAACCGTCTCCACAGCGATGGCCATGACACCGCAGCTCCCGAGCCGGTCCCCAAGCCCGCGGAGGAGGACGACGACGGCGCCAGCTGGCGGCAAAAATGGCCGCAAGAATCCGGGGCTGTGGTGGTGATCGGTCCGCAAACGCCTGGGAGGACCGAGGATCACGGCATTGTGCACGTTGGCAGCGCAAAAGGCGGTGTAGGCTTTATGACCTCCGACGATCTGAGCGGGGTGGGAAACGATGGACGTGGACATGCGGCGGGAGCAGGCCAGGACAAGCACGACGGCCAGCAGACTGGAAAGAAGGATGACGGCGATGGTGTCCGGCCCGATGTCGCAGGGGAGACGACGAAGGACAAGTGCTTGGACGGCAGTACGGCCGACGAATATGACCGCCACGTGTCGCCCTCTCAGCAAGCGGCTAAGGAAGTGCGCGAACTGATTCGCATCCTTTTGAATCACGAAGAGGTGCACAGGCGCGTGGAAGCAGTAATGGAAGGCAGGACGTGCCAGCTGCGGCAGGAAGTCGACAGCCTCAAGTCCGACCTGTTCAAGGTTAGAGGCCTGTTGGACCAGGCGGAGAGAAAGGCACGACAAGAGAGAGAGAGAGCTGATCGAGCGGAAGAGACAATCAAGCGTCTCCACGGCCAGATGGAAAGAGTGGCAGCGGCCAGAGAGAGAGTGGCGAGGGAGAAGGAGCAGCAGCAGCAGGAGGAGGAGGAGGAGGAGAAGGAGGAGGAGGAGGAGGAGGAGGAAAGGAAGACGCACAAGGTTCAGTCAGCTGCAGCTGGAGTGACGCCGGGAGTCAGTCCCAGTCCCAGTCCCAGGCCCAGGCCCAGGCCCAGGCCCCGCTTGGGGCCCAAACCGGACGATGGAACTCCTCTAGGCCGCGATTCTGCAGCCGCAGCCGCAGCGATGGAGAAGACGAAGGCGCAGGAGAAGAGAAAGAGACATAACGACGAAAACAGCGAACAAGATGACGACTTGCAGGGCATGCAGATGCTGGCCCAGGTTCTCTCCCGAGAAGTAGAAGAGCGCTTCGGCCGTCTGATCCTCGCGACCGCGGAGAATCACCACCATTGATCATTGAACGGGACTCTTAAGAACTCTGCTCCGCTCTCTCTTGTGTCATACATATAGCCAGCCCTCAACTTGGTTGGTTTTCTGATGTTCATTCATCATCACAGGTACTATACACCCACCCGTCTTTCTTTCTAATCTCGACTCTAGATTGCGATGGCTGTAGATTGCCACTGCGATTTTGCTATTGCGAATCCGAATCCGAATGCGACTGAGATTGCGATTTTGCGATTGCAAATGCGATTGCGATTGCTACTGCTATTGCAAATGCTGTTGCGTTTCTTATTACTTGCGGGAGAGATTAACACGAGGTGTCGCGCAGACTCTCGGCTGCAGCGAGAGGTGTGACATCAAGAGATGAGACGTGTCGCGCAATGTCAGCTGTGGACAACTCTGGACACAATTCCGACGGGAAGTGTCGGACATTGACGCACAAGCTGTGTGCTGTTGCTGTAGGTGTGACTGACATCTACCTGCTAACCTGTGCATCACCATCTCGGCTGGGAAGTCTCCCACCTCTACTTCCTCGTTGGTTTATTATCCTATAGGCAAGTGTGACCACGAACCGTCACACCTCTCACCATCAAGACCGTTCGAGAAGAACTCTCTTTCCCTCTCTCTCTCTCTCTCTCTCTCTCTCTGTCTCACACACACACACACACACACACACACACACACACGCTCTCACGTTTTTACGCGCGCGCGCGCGATGGTCAGGGGAGAGTTCCAACCCCCCCCTGGAACAAAATGGGTTTGGCGAAAATGAGTGCTTTAGGGAACACAAACTTCCCACCCTCCCGCCGCCTTCAGCACAACCGTCCTCCCTCAGGTGAGAGAGAGAGAGAGAGAGAGAGAGAGAGAGAGAGAGAGAGAGAGAGAGAGAGAGAGAGAGAGAGAGAGAGAGAGAGAGAGAGAGAGAGAGGGTTCGAAGAACCCGTCTCTCCTGGATGAGGGCTTTGCATAAGGATACTCTAACCTCCGCTGCGCGGAATTTTGCCTTCGGGATTTTTATTTGTAAAGTACACAGACGTTGCCTGACTGGCATCGCCACGTCAGCCTGGACATAGATAGAGACAAGCTCGTGTATCATCATCCTCGTTCACATCAACTTGCAGACCACACCCTTCCCTTCCCTTCTCTCTCTCTCTCTCTCTCTCTCTCTCTCTCTCTCTCTCTCTCTCTCTCTCTCTCTCTCTCTCTGATTTGACGTTCTAGTTTTCGTCTAGATATCACAACCTCCTTTCTGCATTTTTCTGCTCTTTTTTCTTTTTTTTTCCCCGTTTTGAACCTTTCCGTTTTCTCCGGGTTAATTTTCTGGCGTTGTATCTCTAGCAGTCCTACGTCTCCTTCGATCCCCGAATCTGTGACCCAGACCATTCTTTATCTATCGACTTGGCGTAGCGTAAGGATTGGGTTTTGGTTACCTGTATTGATCTGGAAATCCACTGCAGTTTTGGAGGCTTAGCATAGCACGGATGGCTCACAAAATTTAATTCTTTTATTCCTTAATTCATTTTATCACTGACTGATTTTTCTTGGTGGAGTCGTTCTCTTCCCCCGCGTCTCAAGGGGCCAGCTCCCCCCTTCCACCTGGGTTCCTTAGTTTTTTTTTTGCGATCGTCCACGGTCCCAATAATTGCGGAACCCGGGTGAACAGGAGGTGGCTCGCGCATCTTCCATCGATGGCATCTTGCGCCGGCCGGCCAGGAGAGAGAGAGAGAGAGAGAGAGAGAGAGAGAGAGAGAGAGAGAGAGAGAGAGAGAGAGAGAGAGAGAGAGAGAGAGAGCTTACTCCTCCACTCTACCACCTACCTTCTCTTCTTTTCATTCTCTTTTTTTTCACGCTGCCACGCTACCATTCACCTTTCCGATCCCCACCGCGAAATCACCCGTCAGAAAGATAAATGCGTCCAGGCAGATTTGAAGTCACCACCTCCGATCACACGCGCCCAATCCCCCTTCCCTTCCCTTCCCTTTTCTCTCTCTCTCTCTCTCTCTCTCTCTCTCTCTCTCTCTCTCTCTCTCTCTCTCTCTCTCTCTCTCTCTCTGTGTCTCTGCGTGCGTGCGAGTGTGCAAGTGTGCGTGTGTGGGAGGAGAAAGGGGGGTGAGAACGATCTCGTCTGGTGGTAGCTAGCCAAAATGTTGGGATCTCAGCCTCCGAAGGACGGAGAAGAACGAACGACCGCCATGGCGGCATTTATGGCCAAGCGCTTGCGACTGAAACTGCAGTGATTTAGTGACCAAAGTGGGTGACGCAGTGCCCGCTGACACGGTCCCTTTAAATCAACCTGCTTAGGACATGTTTTTACGTAGCTCGGTGGGGTGCGCTTGTACTTGTAAATATTTTGTCGAGGTCTCAAAATCTCTATTTGCAACTTGTGATTCTAATGCATTCGTTTCACTCAGCCACTCAACCTCCTCCCCTCCGTTACTCTCTCTCTCTCTCTCTCTCTCTCTCTCTCTCTCTCTCTCTCTCTCTCTCTCTCTCTGCGCTTGGATCTTCGTTCTTTGCAACCCCTTTGCGGCATTAATGGCGATCTGCTCGCTATGGGCATTCCCGTAATAGTTGTATGCGGTGTGTCACCGCCTTCCCCGAGTAGAACGTACGGTCACTATAGCTGTATTTGGGGCAATTTTCAGTCCAGACGCGGCGATCTTGACCGTACGTTCCAGTCTGGGAGAAAGGGGTAGCCGCGTCACGTGCCTTGTCATCGTCCCGCACCTCACATCTCTGCCACTCATCTTTTTTTTTTCTTTTTTTTTTCTTAAAAAACTGGCACCCACCTTGGGCTCTACCTGGTTGTTATATTGTGGCTGAGAATTATCAGTCGTTTTTTTTTTTTTTTGTCTGTGAAAAGAATTCGGCTTTGTATTATGCCTCGTACTCGATTGCCTGATCAGGAAATCCGATCCCATTTCTGCGTCCTTTTTTTCTTTCTTTTTTTTCCCTCGACGCCTCCTGCGTGCGTGACTGTTGCAATTTGGCATTCCCCCAGGACGTTTCTGCCCTCTGACTTAATCATACGAGTTATGGCGAAGCGAGGGCCTCGCTCCACTGCTCTCCAAATGTGTAAAATGAGACTGAATCTTGCGCTAGAACATGGAAAAATACACCGTCGTGATTTTCGTCGTTTGTGCATGTGGAGAGTAGTGGAGCGAGGCCCTAAACTGAATTGCAAACACTTCACGTACATCCATGCACCAGGGAGCAGAATGTCTGAAACAATGATGGGCTTTCTTTTGCAACAAAGAAATGAGGTTATAAAAGCTTACGCGCACGTGTGGGCCCACGTACACACACACACACACACACACACACACACACACACACACACACACACACACACACACATACCCATACAGCGCCATACACATTACACAATCACACATATACACATCCAAGTTGAGACTACCCGGCATCCACATACACACATTTACACATTTACACATACACCTAGGCATACAAATATACATGTACACGTATTCATATATGCACATTTTAGACATATATACATATACACACCAAACATCACACATACACATACACATACACATAATCACATGTACACGTGGGTGAGTGGTAGTCTGCTTTGACTTTCGCCACAGGTACCTTGAGGGCAGTGGTTGGTGGTCCCCACCTCCTCAGGAGGGTATCAGCTGTCGGGCAGTCGTTGATGCTTAACCACAGCCAGGGTTTAGGTGGATTATCACTTACAGTGTAATCAGTTACTAGGGGATTCTGCAGACTGTTTTTGAGGGTTCAGCCTCTTCTGATTGATGAGTAGGTGCTGAAACTGGGGCGAACAGTTTGTCACATCCCTTCCTCTCTGCCTATGGTTTACCGGGCAGATCTGTTTGACCACATATGACAAACTTGACCACATATGACAAACTGTTTCGCCGGAGTTTCACCGACTCGTCAGGAGGCTGAACCCTCAACAGTCTGCGGAATCCCCTAGTAACTGAGTACACTGTAAGTGATAATCCACCTTAACCCCCGCTGTGGTTAAGCATCAACGACTGCCCGACAACTGATACCCTGAGGTGGTGGGGACCACCAACCACTGCCCTCAACGTACCTGTGATGAAAATCAAAGCAGACTATCACTCACCCACACCAGATGGAAAACTCTACCGACTGTCGGTGCACACCCCATCACAAGCAAGCAAAACACCCACGAAACAAAGAAAGGCCACATATATCCATGTATATACATATACATATATATACATATACTGTAGAGTTTTCCATCTGGTGTGGGTGAGTGATAGTCTACTTTGATTTTGGTTAAGGTAGATTATCATTTACAGTGTAATCAGTGAGGGGATTCTGCAGACTGTTGAGGGTTCAGCCTCCTGATGAGTCGGTGAAACAACGACGAAACAGTTTGTCACAGCCCCTCGTTTGTTGTCCTCTTCTCTCTCTCTGCCTACGGTTTACCGGGCAGTTCTGTTTGTGACGATATATATACATATACATATATATACGTATGGCTTCTCTGGACACTGGTTCTGGAGTCCCGTTTATCTCACTGGAGTGGAAATTCCAAAAACGTCTCAGCTTTCAACACTTCCGATAGCTAACCCCTAGAGTACATCTCCTTCTGACCGAGTTCCCTGCCACTACAAACCAGTTTTTTTTTTTTTTTTTTTTTTAATAAAAACTCAGCTCGTTTAATTATGCACACCAAAAGAGAGGCTGGTCCCAAGAAAAACAAAAGAACAATTGTATTCGTGCCATTTATAAATGCATTTCTCATTTGAAATTGAATTAGAATGAATTCTTTTTAGCTGCCGTAGCGTTGAGCTGCCTCAACTAAACGGTGTAAGTGGGACAAGGTCCCGGGAATCCTCAACAAATAGCCTAGTCTATTTATTTTACCACAAAGGCCTACAGAAAGAGGGGGGGGGGACGCGAAAAAAAAAAAAAAGCAAGCCTACTTTACCACCTAGGCCTCCAAGAATTCGGCCCAGCACAGCATTCAGATTATACATCCCCCCGAATGCCTGGCTGGCTGTCCCCGTGACCTCATCAGGGCCATCTATGCTACTCTCTGTACATATTCCCTTCCCCTTTTTTTTCTCGAAATTCAATTTTCTTTTTTCCCTCCCTCGAAATTCATTCCCCGCCCCTCCCAACCCCCGCCCCCGAAATTCAAATTCCCGTTTCATAACAGATTAGGCGGTCGGGACCACCACCATACACCCGGGGCCAAGTCCCACTTAGTACCTGAATTCTGGGGCCAAGTCCCACTTGGAAGTTGGTACCCGAATTCTCAACTTCTGACCGTAGATTACAATAATCAGCGGCCAGAGCCTCCGGACCTTTTCCTGATATGATGTGAGATCCCGCAGCTCTTCGGCTGCATCCTCAACTAAGGTCCTTTCCCTTTTTTTCTTTTTCTTTTTTACAGCTTAATCATCAGCTGAGTTCGTATTTCTGTCTTGGGGTGAAGTCCCACCGCCCAAGTTGAGTTTTCTCAATGCTGAATGGGATGGAGGTCTGCCGTTGATGTATTGCGAATCCAATGGGTCGGAAATACAGGAGAATAACCGTGTAGCACACCAAACATGTTCGGAGCTTTTTCTGAGAACTACATATATATATATATATATTTTAATATATTTTTATGTTCGCATTCGGAGAGTTTTGGTGCTCGTTCGCGTTTGGAGGGTTTTGGTGCTCGTTCGCGTTCGGTCGCGCTCGTTCGGGTTCGGTCACTGAACACAATGCTACACAGGAAGAACCTATATTAGATTTGGTCATTTTGTAGATTTTTTATTTAACGTGAGATCTGTTTTGTGGAATGCATTGGCCCTTTCCGTTTGGGCGGGAAACCATTGTAAGTTGAGAAAACTATCCTACCCCCCCCCGGATAGATTTCTCAACTTATGTGCCTTTCTTTTTTATTTTATTTTTAACACATCATTACATCCTGAAACGGAAGAACTCTGACAGCTGTGTTTGGCTCTGTGGCATCAAACTCGTTTCCTTCTTTGGGCAATGAATGCATTTTGGCCATCCATGTTGTCCCTGTCCATTTTACAAATGGTGACCTCCTGTCCCCACACCACGGGGAGTATCCCTTTTCCATGGAGACATTCACTCTGACTGTGCCAGACGTGTTTCATTTCTCTGAGTTACATTATCAAAAATAAAGAGAAAAGCTGTTTCCAGCGTTGTTTTTTTTCAGCTTTTTAATTTCTTGTTTCAAATTTATTAATGTCGAAATGGTGTCACACCCTTGCGTTTTCTAAACTCAACTTGGGTGGTGTGACTTCACCCCTGGGGTTGGGTCCCACCTACAGGTGTTGAGTTTAGATAACTAAACTCAACGGTGTGACACCAAGAAAGGCATTAAAAAAATAGGCACAATGATGTTTAATACATTTCGGACATATCAGTCACTATTGTAGTATGATATTGGGAGAAACGATCGGTGGTGAATCCATGATTCCTGCGCCCAACAATTGCCGGGAGGGAGGGTGCATGGATACCACCAGTAGACTAAGGACTGACGACGACCCTGACAGTCCCGCGCTGTGCATTGGGTACTGAAAGCAGCACCACCACATGAGCTACGCACTTTGCTCTAAGTTGAGAGATATCTACCCTGCCTCGTGCAGCGTAGATTTCTAAACTTAGTTGGGAAGGGTAATGCCCCATGGCAAGCTTAGGACAGGAATATTCCGAGGAAGTTGTTTCTGTGAGACACAAAAGACAAGAAAACACACACTTCCAATTTCCGCTGCTCAAAAGAACATACAGCCGTCAGATGTCACACATGTGGACGGCGATCTGCCACTGGTCGTCGAGTACCCAATGTTGAGTTTTCTCAACAATGTAGCTGGGACCAGACCCCTGGGGCCATGTCCCACTTACACCATTGAAGTGAGCTACCTCAAAGGTGTGACACAG